TTCATGGTGCGTGCCGTTCCGGACTTGCCATGAAAATTGATTCATGCTTTGGCAGGAAGCCATCTCGTTACCGCCATGTCATATCTGTGGGTTAGGATGTGGCACAACAATAGCGCTTCAGCTGGCACTCTCATATCCGGAAAGGGTGTTATCGCTGACGCTTCTCTCTCCTTTGTGTCTCGAAGAGGTGTGTCACCTGTTGTTACCCCGAAAGCAAATCCTGATGCAGACATTGGAAGGTGCCGGAGGTCAAGGAAGGGTTCGGAGAAGTGTTCGAGTGCTGGAAGAGTGCATTCCCTGACGCGGAAACAGTAGATGAGCCACATCTAGAGGAAGCGATGAAGGGGCTAGTGCAGTATGCATTCACAGATCTGAGCCAGTCTTCAGAACTGGTAGCGACGTGCGTATCCTTCTTTGCATGCATTACCTCTATTCTAACCAATGTTACTCCAGCATTGCAGCCGTAATGAATGCCTCCAGCCAACGAAAATGGACGTTCGGCAACTTATCAACATGCAAGACAATGGTCATGGATTGGATGCTGAATCGCAAGGGCCATACTGTCACCGAACTTGCTTCTCTAAGATGCCCTGTTCCTGTTGGTTGAGGGGGACAATGGCGTAGCCTATCCTCCGGACTATACCACGCGATTTTTGAAGCAGCTTGAAGAAGCAGGGGTGGTAGTGTCGTTGGTTACGATTCCTCGAGCACCGCATCTCCTCTGCGTGGATTATGGCGATATGTATGTTCGTTCGTTCAACTTCAGCCTATCCGGTTACTCATATGGAATACTTCTCCCAGTGTAGATCCGTTGTTATGCGACTTAGTGACCTCAAAGAGTACTGACAGTTCGTCGTTTTTCCCTAAGATTTAAACCTGCAGAACTTGCTCAATCGCCGTGGCAACACCAATTGAAAGAGGCGGGATGGAAAGGCTTGGATGCTGCTGGCAGCGAACACGGCGACTACGATGATATATACCTCACTTGACATTCTCTAGATTTTCCTGCCGCGAACGTTCCCCTTACGTATCCAGGCAGGTTTGCTGAAACATAACATTCGTACCGTCGTTAGCAGATTGGGAATAAATACATGAGTTCTATTAACGAAAGGTACCTGTGCCTCTGCCTGAAGATAGAGTACCTGATTAATGCCGAATGTAGGGTAGGGACAAGTTCTATAGACCACGGTGAAGCCCTCAGGGTTCAAGGTTATGCCCAATATGTATCACTGTCTTCTCCTGATTCGCTATAACCACCACCAGGACCTCTCCATCCTGCTCGTCGCAGTTCGTAGTACCAGGGTGAACTGACAGCCGTCCGAGATGCCATTCAGTGCACTGTATAACGGCCCATTGGACTTCGACATAACGAGGTCGTATATGAGCGGGTTGACCCTAAACCAGTGTCAGCGGAGCATTCCAGATAATAACCAAGCAACGTACACATCGCCATAATCCACGCAAAGGAAATGCGGCGCATTCGGCACCGTGTACGAAGACACCTCCACTCCAGCCTCCTCGAACTGTTTCTGTAACCGCTCTGTGTAGTCCGGAGGATATGCAACACCGTTACCGCCGTCTATTAACAACACCGGGCATGTGAGTCGAGAAAGTTCGGAGACAGTATGACTCCTTCGGCTCTTTAAGCAATCCATGATCATGGTTTTGCACGCGCCCAGCCGCTCGTACGGCCATAATCGTCGGTTGATACCGTTGAAGATGGAACGGATTCTAGAACATTAGGGACGTTGGGGTCAGTTACCAGGCACGAGAAAGAGACAACCCATGAACGCACGTTAATGCCAAGCTTCGAGACATGAGTGAGATCTGTGAAAGCGTACTGCGCCAGCCCAAGCTCTGCCTCCTCCAGAAACTCCTCGTTCACGGTTTCTGCGTTGGGATGGGCGCTCATCCAGCGCAGAAATACCTCCTTAAATCCCTCGCTGACATCGGGAGGCTATGTATCCATGATTAGCATTACCCGTGGCAGCGTGCACGAAGATCCGACATACCGCCTCAAGACATAATTGTGAGAGAAGGGTGAGAGTAAGCACTCTTTCTGGGTATCGGATCGCGAGCTCGAGGGCCATCGTGGTTCCTGAGCCTAGCGCACATATATGGCAGGGCGGTAACGAGATGGCATTCTAGGGACACGTTAGCACGGCCGGGGCCGAGAGAAGGACATGTAACACGCACCATAAAGCGCAAGGTATCGTCTGCAGTATCCGACTGATCATACTTTTCAGGTATTCGCTCTCCCTTAGTGCCTCCGTGTTCGCGTATATCAAAGGTCACAAGGTTGAACCGGCGCAGATGTGGGTCTGCGAATTGCGCTATCCAAGCCAAGACAACCAGATTAGTACCATCCAAGTGATAAAAAGGGCTGGACTCACAATGAAAGACCATTTGTGTCGCAAAAACGCAGTGGACGAATAGTATCGTCGGAAGGTTTGGTTGGAGGAAACTCGCATTATTCGAAGCTGGGGTGGAGATGGTGTAATGATACCTGACGTTTCCGGTCTGTGTCTCGACGTTGACGAAAGGCATGGATGTAGAGGAAGGGAGTGTGTGGGAGTCTTAGGAGAGGCTGCGCTGAGCTTTATCTAAGAGGCTCTGACCATTTGCTTCACGGGAGGACTCTATTGACGGATATCACGGCGTGCTGATGTATGTGATATCCATTTTTCACGGGAGGGGTAGAATCACAGGTTGCATTTTGCGAGATCATGATCATCAGCGAGGCCGAGGGGCGAGGGCCCGGTGAGCACTTCGCCGAGATGCTGAATATTTTGGACACCTGGGAAGAAACAAGGATATTCATGAGCGACAGAGTAGCAGGCAAGAAAGGATAAAAGGGCGAACCTTGACTCTGGAAAGCGGAGTTTGAGGGGTCGGTTGTTGTCAATGTCTGTCAGTGTCAAGGCGTTACCATGATAGGCCAAGGAAAGTATAAACGGCGCCGACCATCATGATCCCCATGTGCACCCCCCTAGCTAAACATCTCCGTCAACCATTTTTGTCCATAAACGAGCTTTGGTCCGAGCTGCTATCTCCTGCTTGAATGGATTGCCTCCTAGGTGTAACCCATCGCTGGGAGATGAACTAGTCCGCTGGTAAACATGAGTCAGAACATAGCTCGAGATCGTCAAAATGCACTGTGTCATCAACCTTGTAGCCTTTTCATGGTGCAGCCACGCAATCGAAGAACGCAGGACCAGAATAAGAACAAGAGTACTCTGCAGCAACGATCAGATTGTGCTGTTCTCGTCTGCCCAGTCAGGGTTTAGCATGTGCTTGATATGTTTTTTTGAACGCCAGGAAATGAATAGGTGCTATATCGACTTGTCGTTGCCTGGATAAAAATGGCTTAATGTATTGAGCTAGGAGCAAAAACGATAAAGTCAGGACGTACCACCCGTCATTAGTCCCCAAATCAGCCCTAGTTCCTTCTCATCCCGCGGAGAATTCTCCCGTGTTCATATTCGATCCAGAGGTGTTTGAAGAGATATGATGGTGGTTTGAGTGTAAGAGCTCTTGACGTCGGTCTTTTCGGAACGTTCGGAATCCGGCATTTCGGAAGCCATTCAGTATCAAGGTAGTAAACTGTCACATATACAGAGCTAGAACATCATATTGTAGACTACGAAAGAACATGATTCTAACTATTGGGTGATACACGACTATAGCCAACACGCCGCAGAGAGCAACGGGGCATGGTACATGCAGTGGCTCTCAGCGCATCGCGTTTTCTGGCCAAGCCAATGACGAACTCCTAGTGAACCGATATAATCTTCGAGCGCAATCCATGGAGGTAGAAAAGGCAGTGAATCACCGGAACGCTAGTACGAAGACAGAAACGCTCGTTAGCGGCCAATTTACTTACCGTGATACAAAGGTTGCTTACCGGTAACTTGATCTACTGGGTTGAGTGATCAGCCGTCTAAATGAACAGAATCACGGCTTGAGCTGGCAGTAAGTCCTGAAACGACCAAAGAAATGCGCATCAGAGACCTATTCAAGACACATCAAATGAAGAGGGGGTACACACTGGAAACTTGTACGATGGAGCTGGGTAATTGAATAGAGATGCAGGCGGACTAGACTGAGGATAATGGAGGGGGCAGAAGTTTTCCCCGTCATGTCGGCTGCGGTTATTGTGTTGGAACGGTGCTAGCACTTATTGTTATCTTGGGGCTTAGCATGGGCCTTCTCGAGATCCGTTGTCTGGTTCCAGTTGTTCATGAGACGCTGTGTTTAATCAGCCTGGACCACGACCTTCAGCGGATGAACTGAGTAAACAAGAATTAGAGCTTCACCGGAAAAGCACCGTATCCAAATACGACCACCTTTCTCCCCGCGTCATCATCATAGAGGGATCCAAGTCCGATGCCTGTACTACGCGGCTGTAGGTAGCGAGCGAGACGTTTTTGGTAGCTGCTCCAGATGACTGTCCTTGGCGATTCTGGCCAAAGGGATGCGCGAAAGGTCAAGGAGCGTACGTTGGCAGGGGAGTGACAGGAAGACGAGTAGAGAAATTTTCAATAGAAGCTTGTATGTCCTTCGAGACAGCTCCGAGTCTGAGTCAATCATAAGATATTCGACTTGACGGATACAACATCGACAAGAGAGGCATAATTTCAAGGCCATTCATTGCCAGCGGGTACCTGTAGAATCTGGATAAAGCTCAGTTCAGGCACCGATCAAACCAGAGACGACTAACGCACCAAGATCACCGTGTTACTATCAAGGCTCTATCATGTTCCTAGATTCCACCAATGCCTCCTTGGGTATACAGGCGACGGGAAAAACGAGACGTGGAGCACGATAACCTGACCATGAGGTGAAAGACAAAGCCACAGACCCTTCAACTTGGGAAGGTTCTGTCAGTGTTGAGGAAGGAAGGAAGTTCAAGGAAGAAGATATAGAAAAATCTAGACGCCTAGTTCAAGTCATGGTAAATGTTTGTGTCCGTGGAGTTGTGGCCAAATATTGCAATCAAATCCCTGGTAGTATATCGGTTAGTACACGCGCCTGTCATATCGCTGGTGGTCTCCAAACCGCGCGAAAGCTGGGTTCGACTCCCAGCCAGGGAGTTTTTTTATCCGTTGGCAAGTACAATACCACTCTACTGTAGACATGTAGGGCCAAATTAGAGCACGTTATGGAGAATCTCTACTGATATCGAAATCTATTGCATTACATGGTCTGCCATGACGTGGAGCAACTGATAGACAACTGCTTCCAACTGAGGGCTTTCGACCCTGCCATGCCCTTTCGGAGAAGCTTCCTTTGGACGCCCCCTGGTACTCCATAGATACTCTCGCTAGCATCATGATGACCGTGTTCTGTTATCCCTCAGGAAGCCTCGACGTAGTCCGTCTCAACTACTGTAGTATCTGAATGCGTTGAGCAGATGCAAACAGAAGATGTCTTTGCAAAGCCTCACCTGAGCTAAGTGACATCCTCACCACCCAATATGCATAGAAAAGGCTTGTTTAAGGATCTCGTCACTTCATGAATCAGCCAGAGAAAGACGACGTACGATCGACCACAGTCGTTTGAGCATAAATCCTGCCTGAGGCTGAACACCTTCGTCTTCACGGGGAACTCGATCAGGAACCCTTCCATGTCTTGAACCTCAGTCGTCCCTACGAGAGAGAAAACGGTCGTTGCTTCTGTGCTTGGAGGTTCGCTTCTGGGAATGTTTTTGAGTAACCAGCAAGCAGAAGGCAAGGCCCAGTGTGTCTTACGCGTCACTAAGATGAACAGTAGAACATGGCTGGATGCTGAGAAGTTTTCGGATTCCAACATGGCTCTATGAATGACAGAGCTCGATCTTGACTTTCGAACTCCTCTCCGTTTAAGCGTCATGACTTGACGAAGACGAGCCTTTTGCACTATGATTCCATATTCGTTTCTTTAATCCAGAAGATGAACCGTTTCGAGGTACTGTATACACAGCAGCATAGCTAGTGAGTGAAAAAGCCCAACAATGAAACCACCAGAAACGCACCGAAAATTCCCCGGTATCCAGCATTTTTTTCTCTAACCAGCAATGGTACCCTTGTTTGAGATTGAGACGAGCATTGGGCGGGTATGCAGATCGTGGTGATGGTTGGGAAGCAAGAGTGGGAACCCGACGCGGTTGTCTGTCACTGATTCAATTTCTCACCACTACCTCCATCACGTCGACAAGGCTACTTTTACTTCTTCCACGTTATTCAATCATGGATGCTGTGGGTGAGAACAAGTGCCTTTTGTGATAGATATCTTCCCGTTACCAGTTACCAGTTAACGCACTATCGAACCGACTTCCCGATGTTGAATCTCTGCGTCTCGAGCGGGCTATATGAACAACGATGTAAGTTAACAAGCATCCTCTTTTATGAACTTTTGCTGATCCTCCCTCTGGTAGGACCCATGAGGTGCCGCATTCTCTTATTCATTTCAGCACTCTATTTTGGGCAAACTTCTGCTCAAGACTTTGCTTCATCTCCTTCATGGCGGGTATGGCTTTGTCTTCCTTGGTATACTCTATGCCGACCCTCATTGCTTCGTATCTAGGCCCCAAACATTACAGTATCTCCAGAGGACAGGGTAGCGGTTGCGAGAAGTGGTTTGGAGAGGGCTATTGTGATGCTTAACGAAATTGGTCAGCTCAATGGTACGAGGCACCATTTTTCGTATGTCAGCCTGACCACTCATAAATTTTACCACTTTCAGATACAAGCTACGGCACCACGGGCGACCTATACACCCAAATGGCGGAATTCGACTTGTTCACTAACCAAACAATATACAAGGATAGGCTTCTGCAATACTTTGAACAAGCCGAGCGTGTTCGACCAAATTTTCTAGACCAGTTGTACGTTCTTTGAGTTTTCTTAGCACGGGAAAAATTGACAATGTACCTATGTCAGTGTCAGTTTCTTCATAAACCGCACGATTCAACCTCTCACTCTCACTCTTTCCAAACCAACCCACAGCTGAATTACGGTCTGTAAGCACCTCGTAATACCACCGCACTATACTCTATAATCTGATGAAACGTCATCTAGATCATACGGTATCGCAGGTGTCCGAGCATACGCTGCTTACCAGGACCCTGTTTTCCTTCAGTACGCAGAAGCTGCATGGAGCAGCGGGAAACAATACACGCTTTCTCCGGAGGATCTCAAGGTTGGTAAGACTCCCGTGAAAAGCATCAAGCTTCAAGAAAAATGCCAACTTGGTGAGGATACTCCACATCTGAAGTGTTTCCCGTGACTGATAGACATTCACTTCCAGTTTCCATGGCGGGAGGTACTTTTTGGGTAAGCCTCTTCCTGAATACGTTTACGCATAAGCTAGAGAATATATGGTAGAACACGGATTTGAGCTCAGCGAACTTGATTGGGCTTGCAACTGGGTAAGTCTACTATACGTAGCTCATGACGAGACTATTGACATTCTCTTTGCGCAGTTCATTCCTTGCGTATGTCTTCATATATCTAATTCAATCTCCAACGACTCAAGATCTGTCTCTAGGACATCCGCTCTATTAGCAGAAGCGACATCAAATAACACCTATCGCGACGCAGCAATGCAATCCGCCAACTTTGTCTTTTCGCACCTTATGAACTCCCGAGGCGAAGTATTGGATACCATAGCGGCAGACACTTGTACACCTAGTCAAGACGGAGCACATTCGTACAACGCAGGCCTAGTGCTGGAGGGACTAGGTGTCCTTGTATCTCACACAAAGAACTCTACTCTCGAACAACGGTAAGGAACCGCATCACAACTTTGACAGTTCACGAGCTGACCACATATCTCCTAGCCTCCTCGACAGCTAATATCTGATACGGTATCAAGCACTGCATGGCAAGACTCTGACGGCATTATCGGTCGTAAGAGTAAGTTCAAGTAATTGTGCTTTAGCCAAATGCTAATCTCTTCGGTGAAAGATGGCGAGAACGGTGCTCAGTATCTTGTTCGTGGACTTGCCGCTGTCTATAGCCGTAACACGACACTCTCGAACCTCCGCACGTATATCAGAGATTACATTGGCGTGCAGGTGCGGTTTCTTACCTAGTACTACGCTGCTCCTTCATCTAATGGTGCTTTCCTTTTGAAGTATAACGCAATACTCGATAACGCAAGAGAGAAAGACGGCAACGTCTACGATCTCTCCTGGGTCGGGCCGCCCGCCGCAAAATACAATAGCGATGCTCAAGTCAACGCTCTCGGGGTCCTGGTTACCACTATTCCTCTTCGGAATGACTCGACAGACACATCTACCAATACTGTCCCAAGCCCTCCCAGCGCTCCTTCTAGCGCCCATCATCCCAATGTCGGTGCAATCGTCGGAGGAGTGGTCGGAGGACTAGCGCTTCTTGGAGCTGTAATGGTTCTCATTCTTCTCGTCATTCGGCGGAGAAGGCGACATCGGGCTTCTGTTAGCGATTACGAAGACTTTCTACAACCACATCCGCAAACGTTCTTCGCCCAAATTCCGGCGCCAGTCATACAGGAAACCATTTCAAGTCAGACGCAAATTACCACACCAGCTTCCTTCGCGGTGACTCGCAACGAAAAAGGGCAAACTCGGCTGGCTCCCCCAGCTCCTATACACGACGCTTCGCTTCATTCGGGAGCGTCTCGAGGCGAAGTGGGGACACATTCCCGTACTCTTTCGTCGGGCTCTCGCTTGTCAAGCGCTGACCCTTCGGAGTTGGGCAACCGCATTCCTACGGCGGACCTTGTTAGATTATTGAACGCCAGGTTACAACCAGGAGAATGGAGAGAGGAAGATGTACCTCCAGAGTATGCTAGTCAGCATGGATAAACTGTCATATCAATGAACTTTGAATGAAATCAAACTTGTACACACGTAAACAACATATACTTGGACTGGTGGTCATTGTACTCGTGAGGTGGCATTCGGCAGTAGGATGTGTAGTATGCACCGATCACATTGGCAAACCGTTCGAATACATGTATTAGAAAACAGACGTAAGGATAGTTGTGTCCTGGTAATTCCTTGGAGCCAGAGCCCAGTCAACTGGCGCAAATCCCTGAGGCACTGTAGTCGACATCAGGACAACCCTTAATAGATGAACGGCTGCGACAGCTTACCTGAACTTCCTCGGTATCGTGACTAAAACGTCTAATCTTCGTCTTCCGCTTTCCATCGCAAGCTACGGCATGGATATGGAGGACGTTTGGTAAACACGCCGCTTCCTCCAAGTAGTATATCCAACCACATGACGCGACTCGAGCAAGCGGAATGGACATTTGCGGAGTTACGTTCTGATGGTCAACAACTCTCGCTCGAGAAATAGATGACAGCGCAAGTTCGCTTGGTAGTGGAGACGCCGCGCCCCGCGCAAACACGCCGACGAGTTCCCAACGCGTTGCCAGTGCATACCCAAGGCCACGCTGTACGCCAGACATGGGCTTTACACAAGGCCCAACCCAACCTGACATCAAGATATGTTGAATAGGAGCGCTGAAAGTTGAGTTAAGCTCACCTTGACTCCGTAGCATTACTCGGTAACCTGGGGAATCACATTAGTTTATCAGCTAGCTGTCAGTGAGGAAGGTTAGCATACGATTGATTATAGCCATTTTGATGTCTCAAGCCAAACTGTCGCCGAACGAGAGAGGAGTGATAGGACGCTCGTTATTTTAGGCTTGAGACGTTGTTTCCTGGGGATGTTACGATGGAGGACGAATACGCTTCAATGTTCATGTTGGTATGCTGATTGCAGTGTGGCATGCGACAGTGCCTGCTATGGTGTTCCTCTCCTCCGCCTGACTCGGAGCGTAGAAAAGAACAGCATTGGCAATGTTTGAAGTTATGGATCCCATTTCGTTCTACGAACGACTCGACGTGTATGGCATTTTCTGGTTTTATTTCTTGATGCCCAAAGGCCAACAATGTTTCGTTGGTACTGTATAGGTCTATATCGAATTCATGGGCGGGTGAAATCGACGATAGAGCGCACACCGCACCTCAGATACCTTTGTGGAGTGCTCCTTCATGATCAAGTTCTCCTGTCCATAATCCTCTGTTCTGACATAGCGAAATCAAGCACAGGAAGGTACAGAC